AAGAGTGAAACTCCGTCTCAAAAAAAAAAAAAGAAAAAAGAAAAAGATACTGCTTTTTGCAAAACAAAACAAAACAAAACAAAACAAAACAAAACAAAAACACAGTCATTTACATCCTCATTACCTAATTTGATATGTCAAATTGTCCCTTTGGGGCCCCCGCACTGTGGCTCACACCTATAATCCCAGCACTTCCAGATGCCAAGACTGGCAAATTACCTGAGATCGGGAGTTCAAGACCAGCCTGGCCAAATGGTGAAACTCCATTTCTACTAAAAATACAAAAATTAGACAGGTGTGGTGGCAGGCACCTGTAGTCCCAGCTACTTGGGAGGCTGAGGCATAAGAATCACTTGAACCCAGGAGGCAGAGGTTGCAGGCAGAGGCTGAGATCATGCCACTGCACTGCAGCCTGGGCAAGAGAGCAAGACTATGTCTCAAAAAGAAAAAAAAAAACTTCATTTGATAGTAAGTGGTCTTGGAGTTTTTACTCAAGGGCAATGAACCATAATTAGACTAGAGATGACTGAGATGTATGGCTTGCTTTTCTAAAGCCAGACCAGGGCACCTTGTGAAATAGGATACCTTTCACCTTGTGAAATAGGACACTTTGACCTTGAAGGTGTTCTTAGGCAAATTAACTTGAAGAAAGAATATACACAAACCAGAAATTGATTGCCCTAATATTATCCATGGCCATATATCCTAAGAAAATCTTTGGGGGGACTTTCTTTCCAGAGTACATGTTCCATGCTCTTTCTTCTTCTCCTATTTTGTCCCAGTCTCTCCTTTAAAAAAAAATAATAACCTATCTGAATCTTCTTCCATTTTTAAAAAATTTAATTTTAATTTTAATTTTGTTTGAGGTGGAGTCTTGCTCTGTCATCCAGGCTGAAGTGCAGTGGCGTAATCTTGGCTCATTGCAACCTTCACCTCCCGGGTTCAAGCAATTGTCCTGCCTCAACTTCCCAAGTAGCTGGAATTACGGGCACCCGCCGTCACGCCCGGCTAATTTTTGTATTTTGTAGAAATGGGGTTTCACCATGTTGGCCAGGCTGATATTAAACTCCTGATCATGTGATCCGCCCACCTCAGCCTCCCAAAGTCCTGAAATTACAGGCGTGAGCCACCACTCCTGACCTTCTCTGGATCCCCTTGAAAGTCAGTATTTTCCTGGGTTTCAGCTGCAAACCACTCTACCTGCTTTTTTTTTTTCACAAAGTCCCGCTCTGTTGCCGAGGCTGGAGGGCAGTGGCATGATCTCAGCTCACTGCGAACTCCACCTTCTGGGTTCAAGTGATTCTCCTGCCCCAGCCTCCCAAATAGCTAAGATTACAGGCGCCCGCCACCATGCCCAGCTAATTTTTTTTTATTTTTATTAGAAACGGGGTTTCACCATGTTGGCCAGGCTGGTCTCGAACTCCTGACCTTGTGATCCGCCTACTTCAGCCTCCCACAGTGCTGGAATTACACCGTGTAATTCCACTCCTCTTTCTTTGCAATCTCCACTCCCTCATCTTCAGTTACTTAAATGACTCTTTAATTTCTCTCTCCAGTTAAGTCTCCAGGACATCACCTAGATGTCCCGTTTGTGCTTCAAACTTAATGTTTCCAACTGAATTTAACTTCCTTCTCAAACTTGCTTCCTGTATCCTTCAGAGTGTGTGGAACCAGCATCCAGTCAACAAAGCCAGAGACCTGGGAGCAGTATATAATTCCATCCTCTCTCACCTTTACTCACTATATGCAGATGGTCAGTGGGTAGTATCGGTCAGGATTTCTCTGGTTCCTAGCACAGAAATCAACTCACGTAAACACAAGATTTGTAGAAGAGTACTGGAACAGTTCACAGAAACAAAAGGAAATTAAAGTACTAGGCTTCATGAAGGGTAGAAACTAGGCAACTGCAGGGTTCTCCCCAAGAGGAGCTTAAAGACCATTCCCCAGAGAACTACA